TTGCTCACAGTGGCATTATCTTCTTATATGTAAAATGACCACACAGAAAACAAGGTAATACAGTCACCAACAAAAATCTCCTAGGAAGGAGAAACAAGATTTTTGAAGGACCACAAGAAATTATCAGTATCTCAGTCTTAGCTGTCATCTAGGGAATGAGTATAAATATACAGCCTATAAATCTGCCCCACTCATTGGAGATACTTAAGATATGGTTAACATCACTAACCAAAACAATCTCACATCATCCTCATCTTGCAACTTGTTCTCCTTCTGTCACCTCCTGATCACTTGTCCCATTTTAGTTTAGACTCAATTCCATAAAGGAACTGCATATTCTATTATCTTTATATTAGGTTATCCGTTTCCTCAACACTTCTCTGTCCAGCATAGAGCAGTTCAGCATTCACTAGATAGACAATAAAATGCATTCCCATGGACAGTGTGGGTGGAAGAGTGAGAGATTTATTCATTTCTTAAGAACAGCTGTTCCATTTCTAAATTTATCCTTGCACTTCAGCACTGTAATTTATGTTTCAAAATCACCCAGATAAGTGTGTCATAGCAAAAAGAAACTAACTTCTCGCAATCTGACATACAAGACCCACCATATCAAAACTCTCAATCAAAGTGAAGTGGGATATTTAAAATGTACTTAGATCTGAGATTCTGCAATACAGTAACAAAGGATAAGCACATCCAGACTTCTTCAGCTTATTCAATTTTGTTATTGATTATTTCCAGTCAACTGATAGAATGGGTTACACCTCACTGCAACAAGGGAGGAAGTAGCCATTGTCTTATTTCAGACACCTCTGCTTCTATATACAAGCGGGCACCTAAAAAGACAGTAGCCATCAAATAAACAACTTTAAAGAAAAAGGCACAGGCAAGACACATCTGGGCAAAGGTTTCATCAGTCATCACTTTGTATGCTATGAAAGAAGGGCAAAAAAATTAAAAATGTGGAGTGATAAATGCAGCAAGGAAACATCAGGCACAGAAGCACAGCCCTGGGGAAAAGCCGAGAGAGAAAGCTTTCAGGTTGAGTGCAGGCTGAACGGGGGTTGGAGCTGAAGAGTAAAAAACTATCTTCACTGGTTTAATTCTTGCTGTAGTCAAGGTAACAGGCCTTCATATATTCTTTCTAAATAAGCAAGATTACAAAGAAACACCTGACTCCATTTCCAATTTCTCTTCTTAATTTGAACCACCAACAAAACCCAGAATATTTGGCTAACCACTTGGCTCAAAGAAATGGTACATTATTTCCTATTGTTCTTATCAATTGAAGTTCCTTCTTCCTTTTCTGCTACTGCTTACTAGAAATATAAGAATAATGAAATTTTCAATATTGTGCAATCTGCAGATGAAAGACATTCAAGAGTTTACCTCTATAACACTTCTCATGTAACACTTCTGTTGACATCATGTAAAGTATTTCTCTGTTCTAACCAACACATGAACAGCCACATGGTCCCAATGATTCTCTAGTGCTTTGTAATGAATATTCATTATCATCTATATAATTCACTGGAACACGCATAATAAGAAGCCTACATGCCATTTAAGACTATCCTACTGCCTTTGCAGCAGCATATTCTGTAACAGTCTCTCTTGTTAATAAGCAGAATGGAATTATAGATAATTAGCTATAGACTAGTCCCTTTGCCTGAGAAATCAGGAGGAGAAACTGATTATACTAGTTAGATATTTCACTGGTGCCACTCTGTTCATTTACAAAGGATGTACACAAAGTCCTGTTTCCCTTAACACTATAGGTTAAAAAAAAAAAAAGTGTCAAGCCAAACCTGTGCTTCAAAAAAAAGTTCCAATCAGCTCCTGCATAAGCTGCAGGTGCGCATGAGAGCACTTCAAGGCTCTGGTGCACCCCCCAAGGCTTGGAGCAATGTTCAGCTGAACAGCTCTAGCCATGCATTCAATTTAAGGCACAACAGGAACCAGCAATAAAGTTATTGCAGGTATTTTGTGTAATAACTTTGTGGCTTATTCCCTCTTTTATTGCATCATTAATTGCATGAACGTGTGGCCTTTTAAACTCGTTAATCATGTCTTAAATGTAACATCTGCCAGGGGCCTGATGCACAGAGCTGCCAGCAGTCAATGCTCCACCTGCTCTGCCTGTGCACTTCAAAAGAGAAGCCTTTTTGGCTTCTAATAAGGCATAGCTGAGATGTCTAGTAACTTAGGCAGTAGCTTCTATTGCTTTAGGTCTTTCTTCACGAAGGGACATTTAAGCGCTCCTGAATTTAGCATGGATAAAGGCTGTGTTTTAGTACACCCATCAGTTTTACACAGGCCTGTGTGTGCGCATCAGCTTTACACCAGGTCTGTGATTTATGGTAGCACTTAACACCTTCAGTAAAACAACAGAAAAAGAGAGAGTGTGCACATGCATACTGGTGTGGGAAATTTGTTTGAATAAAATAAAAACAGAGGGAATATTAGCTCAAACTTCTAATTAAACCTAAAGGGGGAAAATATTTGATATTTGAAGAATAATGTTTTTTAACTGATTTTCACATCTTTACTTTTTAGTCAGATTGAGATAATTACTCAAGTACCTTATTGCATAGAATTTTCAAATTAAGTATAACGAAGAAAAGCCAAAAATCTAATGGGATAAAATTTATTTAACGTTTCCAGTACTAGATCAGTCAAATAAGCTTTAAGGAAGCACCTAACTTTCTTGATCTTTATTTGCACCCTGCTGAAGCACCAAATGATTAATTACCTATTATTAATTAAGAACCTTAAAAGCATTTATGTTATATCTTTTATAATCATCTCTCCATTTCCACTTACAGTGAGCAGTGCTTGCCAGCTCATAGACCTTTGGCTTCTAACTTTCCTCCCTGTCTGAAGAAAGTTATTTGTTTGCTTTTTATCTCCAAAGTTATAAATCAGAGATGTACAGCAAGACAATCTCAACAATCATCCCTCACCCTATTATCTTCTTGCCATATGTTAATTACATACCTGTAGTATGGAAGAATCCCAGGCACAAAGCTAGTGTCTAATAAAACTACATGTCTGCCTACCTCCTTTTTTTAAAACTAGGCTAAATACATACACAATAGAGAACCAGCAAAACAAAGGGGTCACTAACTGAAATTATCCTTTAGTTTGTACTGAGCTAATTCTTCTATTTATTTCATACTACAGTAAACTGAGTAATATATTTGACATCTATAATCTTAGAAAGGTAAAAGAAAAAAACACTTGTACAGCCGTCACTGAACCCCGCTTACCAAAACGTATGTGCTACAATATTATGCCAACCCACTTTAAAAGTCAATCTTCAGGAATGTCTTAATTCACTTTAGTTTGGTAAGCTATTATTCAAGGAGAAACTTGTGTTCGAAAGTCACATTTAAGCATTTTTTTAAATCTCCCTGTATATGTTAGAAGGAACATTTGATATATGGGACCACTCAACCAGGACTTCAGTAAAAATGTTTTTATATACTCTTTTGCCCTCGAAGTTTACCTGAGACTTTAAGAGTGATCCAGAAACACAGTGTTGTTTAGGGTTTTTTTAAAAGCCAATGATATAATTACAAAAACACAAAGGAGACATGGAGAGAGTGAATACCACAACAGGCCTAAATTTGAATCTGTGAGATTCACACATTAAAAACAACTATGCTGCCAGCAAGCCTCACGTATACATCACATCAGAAGAAGCTGTGATTTTAGGAGTGTGATGACAGTTCTATATCCATAACTCTGTCCTAACAAGGCACACGCGTTAATCAGTTTACATCAAAGTTACTGGGAACACAAGGTCCATGACTAATTTGCATCAGAGTGAACAGATTGCAGTTAAAGTCAACTTTAGTTTGGAGATGCAGCAAAGAACTTCCAGTGATCCCAGAATACAATACTGCATCTTTTTCCAAAACCTCTGAGTGTGTTCACATTTGACCTTTAAGCCACTGTTTACCATCACTGTGTTATACAGCACATCCAGATACCGTACAATTCATATTTTTACTATTATTATTACAAATGTAAGGAGCCACTATAAAAAGGACACAAAGGAGGTGAAATATACTCAACACAAAAAATAATACCCCAGATCTATGTATCCAGCAATTTAAGTTATTTTTGTTCCTAAAAACTTGTCTACTTTTATATATGTGATGTTATTTGTGAGAAATAGCACTAAATAGTGAACCAAGCCTGGGACTGGGAGGCTAGAATTCCTGGGCTAGAATTCCAATATGTTGCCAACTTGACATGGGCCACAGGGGAAGAGATTGATTTGTTCTTCAATTTCACCCATTTGTGAAGCTGAACAGAATATCTAGGTGATTCATTTTAAATTTTGTGCAGGACGTGAGAATTTTTTTCTATTGACATCAAGTAGGTTTTCCCTAGCTTTGAAAGCTTTGAGAGCAATAGATAACCAAGTACGTCAGTAATTCCAAGATTGCTTCATCTCTCCAAGATTATAGTTTTCTCAGTCAAACCAGCACAACATTCCTATTTCTGTAGTTATAGGCTTTCTTCCCACCTTCCCACCTTGATGGTGTTTTTAAGAATGAGTATCACAAGGCAAAATCATTGCCTTGAATAAGATAGTTAGCCTTCATTTCAAACACAAGCTTCCTATTATTGTACAGTACATTCAGGAATTCAAATCCAACTGCAAAAAAAATTGCTTGGAAAATTCTGTGCTAAACCACAGTATAGAACAGAGACACATCCTTTATCTGGTTCGTTTGTCAGCTAACCAGTTCTTGTAATGACAAACCAAGAATGTATATTGTGACAAACTGAGAAAAAAATCCTATAAATATGGCAGAAAAGAAAAAGCATCTATCTTAGGATTTGCTTATATATATTCTGCATAGTATTAGAAACAAACTTTAATGACCCCTTCCCCCTCCTCCCATTTTGTGTTTTTTTCTTTAGCCTACAGCTTAGAAATCAGCATTCTGGCTAACAAGTCGCCCCTGAAATATTCTGTTTACCTTCTGAAACCACCAGTTACGGTCACTAAAGCGTCTGGTGAAAACATGCACACAGTATCCTTGATAAGTAGGCTCACTGCATCTGCTTCAGCCTTAGATACATAGGAAACAATGTCTTCATAGTGGAGAAACCCTGAAAAGCAATATTATATGATAAGAAACAAGTTTCAATCACTAGGTAAAATAATTAGGACACACACAGCATTAAGCAAGCCCAAAATAAAGCTGATGGTAACCTTCTCACAAAGAAAGCCTAAAAGGACTACTCAATTCATATGAAGGACATGAGACTGCTAACCATTAGGTGCAGGGTCAGGGTTATGACTAAACTGCTCTCCAAATTATGTACCTACCCGGAAATTACAAGCTTGCTATAGAAATTACTGGATAGAGTGTCATTCCATGTGTTGCATAGGATTTCAGACTAGATCTTCTTTTCTTCTTTTTGTGTCTTTACACCACATTTGACCATTTTGTTATACATGCTTGTGCCCATTTATTGTACTTTGTGAGATCTTTCATCGTACATGTGCCTTCAAGCAATGGGCGTTGCAGCAGGTGTTGCACTCCAAACCATGATTTTGATGATTTTCAGACTATGTGTTCATAATGGAGTTTGTGCTTTTAATCTCTCAAAAGATTATTTTACTTTCATGATATTTAAAGTATGATGCTACCTCTCGAATGTCAATTCAAGAATTTTCTTATTCTCCCAAAAACATAATTGGGAGGACCTGTTGATAAAGATTTCAGTCTGTCTTTAAATCTTCCTTACGTACTTTTTATCTCAGTGAAAGAAAATCTTTAAAAGGATCTCAAAATTTGTACCCCTCTTGTAAGAGAATGCTTCCAGGCAGGTACAGGGCACCCAAAGGAAATACTTCACTAGTAGATTTTCTTAGAAGGTCCTGTTTTCGGATGGGCTATAATCCAACAGGTCCAAAAAAAAATATTGTAATGCTGAGGGCCAGGATGGACTTTGGAACTACAAACTACATGGCTCCAAAGCCACGTTTCCAAATAGAAACATGGCTGTAAGGCCTCATGGTGCCCTGCCCGGTCCCATGTGCTGGAACCTGCCACAATAAGATTGGAAGGTCCTTACGTTTCTTAGGAGAGCTAAGGGGAAAGTGTCAGGAAAGATGAGAAAGAGTTTGGGTTCTTATATAATCTTGGGAGGCAGAGAAGAATAGGTCATTCTGCATATGTTTTTCCTAAATCTGACTAGCCTAAAGTCTATGGTCTCTTTGAGAGCGAATACCAAGATTCCAACAGCCTAAGACATCAGTGAAAATTTACTCCTGAAAACTTTATCATAACAGACATTTGAACACTGACTTCTATGAAAAAATATGCAATATTAGTGTTTATAAAAACTGTCTTCAAAGAGTGTCAGGGAGAGTGTCTCCAGAGCAGGATACAAGATTGTGAACATCACTATCTAGTATACATGAGAGAGAAAAAGAACATGTAAAAATTGCATCTATCTGCACAATGATTATTGCAAAAAATAGCAAATGGCATGAGTTAGGGAGTTTCTATAGCATCCATACTAAGTGTTAAATGAATGGAAGATTAAAGAAAATATAATTTACTATCTCTAATTTTCGAATACATTGTGATGACATATTTTCCTTTTATAACCTTTATATGGAGTTAATCCTAACAAAAGTGAGGAAAAAAATGGTATTGTGGTATTTTTACCCTTGCATTTATATTAAATTATTTTTTCTTGCAATGCACTGAAAAGGCACATAAGCCTAGGAAAAAGAGGTTTAATAACCTGTTTTGAAAAAGGAGACTAGGATAAAAATTTGTGTTTTCTTTAAACAAGAAATCCATAGTTGTATGCTTGCACAATAGCTGGATATCAACTTGGGACCCTTAACAGTAAAAGCACAAGGTTTTATAGCTTGAGACAGATGGGATGTCTGGATGAAGAGTGTTCTCTTCACTTCATCTTGAATAGAAAAATAATACAGCGAGATAATTATTTTTTAAGTATTAAAATTAGAATTAGGGTGTTTTTACACGTGCTCAGAGGTGGGGGTGGGAAACATTTTAATTAGAGCAACTCTCGAGACCCACTCTAATTAAAACGCCCACAGTGTCTCATGTACTCATCATCCTGCTTCTCAAAATGGCAGCAGGGATGCTTCAACTAAAGATTGTTCAACAAGCTTTAGCTAAAGCACCCCCACCACTAGTTTGAAATGTGGGGATGCTGAATACATGAGATGCTGCAGCATGCTGGAGTGTTTTAATTAGAACACTCCAGCAGACTCAATTAATCAAGACTAATCAGAACACACTGGAGCATGTGTATAGGTGCCCTTTGTGGCTTACTAGCATGAGGAATCAAACCCAGGGCCAGTGGCAACAAAAGTTCAAACCTTGACTAATCATGTTCATTGTGGATCTCTAGTGACTGAGAAATGCCTTGGAAAATTCTTCTTGAAAACAAAATCAAAACTATTTTAAAATCCCCAGAGGCTCTTCTTCCTCTGGCATAAATCTAGCTGGATCTACATATTTCCAGTTCAAAGTGAACTAAAGACTTTTACTACAGTACCACAAACTGTTAAAGTTGACTTGAGTTTGCAATAAGCTTCCTAGGAAGAAGTTCTATTAAAAATGACTCAGCTAGCTCCCCATCTAAGGAAAGTTCAAATGAAATGTATGGGTTGAAAACATTAGAACATTTTAGCTATAAAAGTTGAGTAACACACATTTGAATAACTTTACTTTTTGGCTAAGTCACAAAAAGTCCACCCCCTCCAGCATAATTAGAATCCAAATAAAAATGCCAGTCTTCCACTCCCATCCTGTGCTGGGCAATGACATTGCTCTGAGGTTCAGTCCTGTCACACAAAGTCTTTGCACATCAGGATTGTGCCCCCACATGCCTACATTGGGCCCTCCCATGAGCCAGGCTCCTGACACTATTTGAAGACAGGGCCTCACATAGCCCCTCCCACCCCCACCCACTGGGATCAGGCTACAAAGTCTCACACTGGTCCTGCCTGGTCCCATGTCCTGGAACCGGGCTCTGGAGCTCTAAGTGTCAGGATCAGGCCCTGGGGAACCCACACCACATGCTGGAATTGGGTCCCAGGGACCTGTATTACCCCCACTCAGCCCCACATACTGGTGTCAGGCTCTGAAGCCCCACACTGCCACCCACCCAGACCCTAGGTCAGGCCCTGCACCTCCCTGCACACCTCCCTCATGTGCAGGGCCACAGGCTGCAGGGCTTCCCACCAACCAGCATGGAGCCCCATAGGCCAGATAACATGGCACCAAGAGCCAGATCTTGCATGTGGGCTGCGGGTTGAACCCACTCTGGTCTTGAGTTGCCAGGCTGGGTACCCTAAACAGTGGAGCCAATTTGCTCTATAATTCAAATGTACCTTCCTTTCTGCCCAGAGCTTATGTACCAACCTGGGGTTTCTGGAAAGTTTGTTCCCTCTAGTCTTTCCTAGCTCCAATGCTGGGGTGTCAAGGGTAAATCCACAGGGTGTGTAGCACCATGGTCATACCCCCATTTGGTGGAGCCACACATGAGCTCTCAGTGTGGGGGGTGGCCAGAGCCCCTTCTTACCCGCTGCTCCAGAACCCAGGGACTGAAAGCTGCCACTGCCTCTCATCCCTTCCTTTTCCTTGCTTCTGAATTCAGTTGGGTAGAAGGGGAAGAGGAAGGGCAAATAACAGCATCCCATGGACTTTGGAGATACCCAAAAGCAAGGCCTACAGCCAGACCCAACTCCAATCAACTGATATGCTCAGAGTTCCCTGCTCACATGGAAGAGTCCACAATGAGCACGCAACAACCCAGAGCTCACTGAGCATGTACAACACAGGCAAAGTGTGGGGGTGCCTCAATCCCCCTTGCCCTGTTCTTGGATCCACTACTGGCTAGGGTCAAACAAAACCTTCCTTAAAACAGGGTAAAAATAGCCTCTCCTATCCTACAGCTATGTTTTGGATCAAGCAGGGTACCCTCAGCCCTCAGTTTCTTTCCACCGCAGACATTTACCAGTCCAAGAAACTTTTCCATTTAGTTCCCTTCCTCCCTTCAGTTCTGAGCTAAAACTCTCTCCTTCAGACATAGTGATCACAGCTTGGGCCTATACTTCATTTCTGGCAGATTTGGACAGCTCACAAGAATCCTGTTCTACCCCAGCAACATTCCTCCCTGCATATCTCCTGCCTCTTTTGTAGAGTATCAACAGCACAGCCTTCCCTTACAACCCTTCCCCTTTTTTACTGAACCACTGGCTGCCTTTTTATCCCCCAGCATCTACCTATTAGTCAGCCAGTCTTTGCCACATAACTTTACTCATTTCCTCCCAGATAAATTGGGTCTGGGACAGATGTAGTCAATCCTCTTAAAGGGCCAAACTCATTGAAAATGGGGAGCACCTATATCAGATGGTGAAAAAAGACCCACGAGACCCACCAGTTTGTCTTTAATCTGGGACTGTATGAAACTGGGTGATTTCAGTATCTGTCTCCCTTCTCTGATAGTTTGAATGCCTGTAAATCAGTCTAGTACTTCTGTGAGTACCTAGCAATGTCATTTCTAGAAACACCCACCTTTAAGATGACCCTCCTGGAATGATATGATTTTACCTACGAACAGGAGCTTAGAGGCTGATTGACATTCAAAATATCCTGACTATCTACATGTCAGTCTGAGACACTTATACTCAGAGGGTTTGATCCTGCAGGCTGATGAAATAGATTCAGATATGATTTTTAAAAGGAAGAGATGTACCCAAAATTATACACTGAGTATCAGCGAATATGAATAGAAAATAAGGGTGAATATAAGCAAGGCAAGCCGAGATCCTAAATTGATATAAAAACACACTGGCGGTGCCAAGAGAAAATATACCAACATAAGCTCATTCCAGATTTATTTCAACAGGTCGATTTACTCCTGAACTTGGTCCCTAGTAGGTGTGGCATTCCAGTTAAAGTCTCATTGAATTTAAACAGCTGCAAGATCTGTTTGGAATCAGAATTTGGGCCATCCTTAGTCATAGGATGAAAGACACTGTAGATGTGAGTGCAATATTTGTGAGTCTGCACCAGTACTTAGTATACAACTTGCCTCACTCTATAGGACTTTACTAAACCAAAGCATATTTCACACACTTCCCATATTAAGGTTTAGAATGAAAACACACTTCACCTCGTTCTGAACCATACCTTGTGCTAATTCTGCTCTGCTGGAGCTCCCATTGTGTGAACATGTTTGATTTTAACAGCTAACTTCATGACACAAATTTTCCTGTCATTTTTTTCAGCCTTACTCTACAGTATGTGATAAGGGTCATGTTAACACTTTTATGAAGAGGGAGCCTACCAAGTCATCTAAAGTTTGTCAGACTGTGTAGCTCAAAAGAACAGTTTATTGAACTTATATGAGCCTCCATTCAACATCAGTAGGCCTGTCAGCATCTCCTTTTATTATGGGAAGTGTCAGGTAACTTTAATAAGACACTATTGCTTATAACTTTGCCAGACTTTAAACATCTGAGCTGAAGTTTTCCATGCTGAGTGTCTGCTGGAAAATTTTCAGCTAAAATGACTGAGCTATTTTTTAAGGCCAAGAAAAATACAGTATTTTGTCCATGTTAAAAAAAATTCTTGTGATCTTTTCTTTGAAAAGTTGTCCTGCCCCATGCTTTGACAAGGTGTGGCCTTTCTGTCAGTCACGTCCCAGTCATGTCCCCCATGAATCCACCCAAATGTGGCAAAATAATGAGCTTCAGTTAATAGAAATCCCTGTTGTTGGCTGCTAAATTACTCAAAGATGCAATGCAAATTGAGCAAGTACCAGCCTCAAGTTGAGTGGGACTTTCTCTACAACTGCAGTTTTGGGCTGCTGTGGCCAATACAAGACCTGCATATGGGAATCTGACCTGAGTGTAGTGAGCCTGTTTCTCCAGTACTTTCATTGTTTACAATACTGGGCCCAAGCAGCAGGGAATAGGAAACTGCCTGACAAAGGTGACAGGAGCTGGCTTGCAGGATTGGACAGGAGCAGAGGCATAGATTCACACAAAGCTCCTGGGTAGGGAGATGCTACAAATTGTGACTTGCATGAGTTGGCAGAGGGAAATAGACTAGAAGTTCAGGTTGGAGGACAACTGGGAGAGGTTGAACAAAGAGTCTGAGCCCAGGAGTTGGGGAAAGAGTGGGACTAGCTACACAAAGAGAGTACAACTGGGAATTAAGGATGAGGAGAAGGATGTAGAAAGGGAGATAAATTTGAAGAGCTGATCAAGTGGGGGAAAGGATTAGCAGTAATAGGGCAGGGGAATTGGGATAAGAACGTAGTGGAGCATGCACTGAGGTTCCAAGCAATCCCAGTAGGAAAAATGGAACAAGGAGCTAGTAGAAATGAGGAACAGGGGTCAGAGAGGCAACTAGAGGCCATGTAGGAGATAGAGACAAACTGGACAAAGAATGAAAAGAAAGGAAATTAGGAATGGCTAGGCAAAGAGATTATTACTGGACAGTCCAGAAAAATGAAATTAGGAATTACATCATAGGAAGACTGCATCTGGGATCAGAAAACCAAAGAAAAGAGGACAAGATAGGGGTGAGGTGCTGGAATGGGAAGACAGGGCTTAGCAAAATCAGGCCAGAGGGAACAGGGCTGAGGGTTCGCACCTGAAAAAGACAGGACACATGAGAGGACTGAAAAAAAGAATCCAAACCCAATAGAAAGCACCGCTGTTTCCAGCTTGGAAAGGAACCTGATTCCTGAGCTTCACCTTTCCTCTGCTATGAGCGAACTTCTGAGAAATGCACTAGCACCTGCCCCTTCTGTCCCTTCTAGCAGTTTTACCATTTGGAGGAGGGCCTCTTCTTTAATCTATGAAATTAAATCCAGGAACTTTAATAATGTTTTAAAGTCAAGCCCTCACATGTTAGGAAATGCCAGAATTAAGCAGTTTTGAACAGTTTCTTTACTACATAAATCCAGAATCATTCTCAAAGCAGGTCTATCCTACGCACTGCAGAACTCAGGGAACCAGTGGAAACAATAGCATGTGCTCACGACATTAAATATCGTATCATGAATCATATACACAAAAGGGCCAGATTAATAATGCACAACCATAGCTCTGCCATTCCCTAAAATCTCAGTGCTTGAATTCACAACTATAATAATGTTCTTTAACATAATTTTTTACGTGTAAAAAAAATAAGGAAGATTTTTTAAAAGAAGATATTGTTTTATCTAATTTAAAGAATGACTATAAGAGTTAACATATGCATATGTTTTAAAAGAAAACATCCTTTAAAATAATAGTACAATATTTCAAAAATTCTTTTTAATATCATAATTAAATATTAAAACTATATTAAGGCAAGAATATGAAAAAGGCCCTATTTAAATTTTGAAAGACCTATCTAATTAATGCTGTTTTCAAGGTAGTAGAGCACTGAGACACAGATTTTTTAATTGGATTTTACCTGCTATCTGCATTCGTGACAACTTCAGAGTCTTCTCAGCTTTTACTTCTTCCAGAGTTCGAAAACCCATTCTGTACCATTTTTCAGTAGTCTTCAACCCCACTCCAAACACAGAAGTAAACAACTAAAGCAAACAGAACAACACACATTTCAGTGCAATACAAACAACTGGTTTGCAGCTTTCTGAGGGTACACTGGATTAACAGAAAGTAAAACACAAAAAAGTCATTAAACAAACAGGTTTGTTCGAAGGACTATAATGAGAGCAGAATTCATCCATATCTAACTAACTTCAGATGAGTATAAATTCCTGTGTACAATTACCCTGTTCAGTCAAGTGCTTTTATACATTTATTGTCTTTTAGGAACTTAACATCTAAAAAATAATAGGTAGTGTCCCACCCACTTGGTATGAGTTAATTATAACTGCACTTTGATCAAAGATTATCAGTAGGACTAAGAAACTATACTTGTTTTCAGCATTCAGGGATGGAAAGAGTAATTCTATTTATCTTTATGGGTATATACAGACATTCAAAAACTAGGGGAGGAATCAATTTAAGCAGTGGTGATGCATATGGGGTGCATGGGGGGGCACGTACCCCCTCTGAG